GGGAAGAGGATCATGGGCTGAGAAGTGTGGGTGGCTTCTAGAGGCGGGGAAAAGGCAAAGAAATGGATTCCTCCTGAGGGCTTCTAGGAAGGAATGTTGCAGCCCTGCTGGCCCCTTGATTTTAGCCCAGGGTGACCCATGTTGATCAAGTGGTTTTGTTTAAGATGCTAAGTCTGTGGAAATTTGTTACAGTAATAAATAGAAAACTAATACAGAGGGGATTACAAGAGCTCACTTGTATGTCGAAGGGAATGGTTTCATAGAGAAGAAATTGATTATGAACGAGAAGAGAGCAAAGCACTTTAAAGAGGAAAGATACAAATGGCAGGACTGCCTTGTGAGAGGAGTAGAGAACTTCAAAAGAAGGCAGAGGGTAGATCCAGGTATAGGAAAGTGGATAGCGTTGTCTTAGGAATTCGTATAGTGCTTATGGCATTTTTCAATTTGTTAAAATTTATAATTGAAAAAAAATTTTTTTATTAGCCCTGGCTGGTATGGCTCAGTGGGTTGAGCACTGGCGTGTGAACCAAAAGGTCATCAGTTTGATTGCCATTCAGGGCACATGCCTGGGTTGTGGGCCAGGGCCCCAGTTGGGGTTGTGTGAGAGGCAACCGATCGATGTTTCTCTCTGTCTCTGCCTCCCTTCCTTCTCCTTTCTCTAAAAATAAATAAATAAAATTAAAAAAAATTATTGTAAATATTTATTTTCTTACTTATTCTTTTTCTTAAGGAAGACTGTATAAAGATCAGGCATCACAAAGTCTACATCCTTTCCTTGATCCAGCAAAGATTACCAGAAATCAAATGAAATCACTAGCTAAATAACACATAGTTTTACTGTGGTTTTTCTTTTTTTTTAAAAGAAAGGTCTTGACTGGTGTGGTTCAGTTGGTTGGGTGTTGTCTCACACAGCAAAATGTCACTGGTTCAATTCTCAGTCAGGGCACATACGTGGGTTGCGGTTGGGTGCCCTGTTGGGATGTGTAGGAGAGGCAACCAATTAATATTTCTCTCTCACATCGATGTTTCTATCCTCCTCTTTCTCTCTCCCTTCCTCTCTAAAATAAATAAGGAAAATCTTAAAAAAAAACCCAACAGTAACGAGAAATAGAGCAGAGCTATTTTCAATATTAATGTTCCTAGGTTTTTAATAATAGGAACATTATGTAATATAATGGTCCGCACCTTCAAAAGAGCCTATAGAAAACACAATACATTTCATAGAGCTCTTTCCAATAGTGCTGAGTAATAAGGGGCTTATGATTTCATTCAGTGAGGAGGGAAATAAGATGTAGTGGTCTCTACTGATCTGGCTTCACCATGGATTAGATTTCAAAGGATCTGGAAATCTGCAAAATCGATGTATTGGGCTTCCTGTGAAACCTAACAGACTAACTACACATTTTATCTCTACTTCCTCAAGTAACTTCACTAAATCAAAAGTAAAGTGATAAACCAGTAACAACAAAGAGGATGGGAGAAGAAAATTCTGGAAGATGAAAGACGGAAAACAAGTAGATTTTAGCAGAGCAGAGAAAGGTGGATTCTAACCACCTGAAGGAGACAAAACGAAAAGAGGTAATCCTTTTTACCATGAAGAACCCTAAAAAGAGAGCCCAGATATTGGAGGCAGTAGCACATACCTTTGGAAGAGAGCAAAGGATGGGGGTAAAAACTGAAGGACTAGTTGAAAATCAACCTAAGTAAAAATTAGATTCTTGAATTTGCTGTCCAAGGCTCAGTAGCAAGGAGGCTGTTGAGAGGAGAAAAGTTTGAGTGTAAATTTGTGACTGGTATATAGAAAAATAAGCCAACAATAAAAAAAAAGTACAAGTTTTAATTGTGGAAAAAATAGTTGTGTACCAAGAAAATAGATGTTAAAAAAACAAAAGAAATGCAATTATAGTACATTGCATGGCTCAGCTGCATACAATATTTGAACAGTCATAACACTATAAACATTTACTGTTTATTCAATAAAAGTCATGATATACAGTTGGATTTAGGAGTAAGAAAAGTTTATGTGTGGTTAGTGTAAAAGAGCTAAACTTTTTTTTGTATTAGGAGTTCAGCAAAGATGTCTAAAAATATTAAAATCAAGAAGTAGAATACTAGATAAGGCCATTAAAAATAAATATGAAGATCTATATTAGTTGAAATAATTAAGAGTTCAAAGTTCTGGAAAGGGTTTAGGAGTGGAAAGGGTTGGCTGTTGTCTTTTGCTATAATCCTGGTAGAACTAAAGCATTTAACTTTTAAAGCTGTGTACAAGTATTCTTTTTATTTTAGAGGGTGAATTGCATGTGTTCCAGAAATATTTGCATTGAAGGCAAAATAGCTATTTCCCAATATCCTATTATTTCAACACATACAAATAGGCTATTTCACATCATAGCTAATCCATGGCCTGGAAAATATTAAGTAAGATTTAACATCTAGAATAAATTTCACTGTGACATATTAAAATGAATATATTTGTTTTGTTAGCATCATCATATTTCCCTTTATTATTAAAACAAGTGAGTCATCAAAATTAGTTATTTTAGGCCAGCTCAGAGCTTCTCAACGCAGAAATATTTTGACCCCCCAACATTTGGCAAAGTTACAGCTGGGGCTGGGGGGCAGATACTGGCATCTGATAGAAGCCAAGGATGCTGCTAAACATCTTACAATGGACAACTCCCCAAACAAAGAATTATCTAGTCCCAAATGTCAATCGTGAAGTGGTTGAGAAATCAAGCTCTGAGTCTCTGAAGATTATTTCATCAGAACACTATATACATAAAGATTGATGATATGCAAACATTTTGCAATTTAGGACTGACTCTAATAAATCTTGGTGCAATGTTGGAAGCAGTCTGGCTGTGAAATAAATGTTTGAGAATGTTGAGAATGGTAAGGTAAAGACAAAGGTATACTACATGATAACAATAATAATATATAGTGCTTTGTACCTCAATAATCTCTTTCATCCATGGTTCCTAGGACACTTTATAGACTAGTAATAACTACTTTGGTACTAACATACTACCTTTTATCTAAGGAGCTCAGGCACTTTCACAACACTCTCACAATGTAGGAAGTATTATTATCCCCATTTTATATGTAAATAAACAGAGGAACAAAAGTTAAGCAACTTACTCAAAGACACACAAGTTAGTAACAGCCAGCATTCCTGACACAGAGCCTATTAAGTGAACTGGTCTAAGGGATGCCGTGACAAATTTATGTAGCATAAATATTATCCTAGTTCATTCACCCAATTGTTTTCAAGTTTATATTTCATATTCAGTACTTTATCTTTTTGCCTAACTCCCCCCAACCCCCCAAATCTTAAAGACCCAGGACTCTAATTGCTTGATACCTTATTAATAAAAGGGACTATATTTACCGAGTGCCTTTTGTTAACTAAGCGCACTTAACACACCTTGTCCATTCTTACAACAGTTTTAAAAATATATGCTGTTATCGCTGATTTTTATAGTAAAGGAAGTTTCAGAGAATTTAAAAAACATGACTCAGACCTCTCAGCTACTTATGTTTATATCCAGGCAGACTATACTCTTTCCACTGTATCCTGCAGACCCTCCAAGCATATCAGTGTGAGTCTGATTAATGCCCAACCTTTTTTCTCCTCTCTTGAAATTCAGAAAACAAATTAATGAATATGTAATGAAGAATTTCTGGGGGTGCACCCAGGTTGGTACCAGCTAGGCTCAGCCTTTTAAACCCATTCCCAAGGAAGGCCATTAGCTTTCTAAGGATTTTTCCAGAGCTCCCTCTTTTTTACTCATATGTTCACCCCAACAGCCAGATCAAAGACGAGAACTGTGTGACTTTCCCTGTGAGAAGTAAATAGCAAGTGAATCACCTTCTCCTGTTCTCATTCCTGTGGCAGGCACACGCTGACTGCCCACCCACCATGTGTCACCTGGGCAAAATAGGAATACTAAATAGGAAGAAAGATTGATGTTAGGTAAGAGTGTGACTCAGGCTCACCTGCTTTTCACAAAATGGTGACCTGACATTTGTACCATGACTGTGATGTGCCCTGGCACTCCTTGCATAGAGTGAGCTCAGTCTCCTCAGGTCCCTGTTAGCTGCAGCCCATCAGCTCTGATCCAGAAATCTAAGATGGCTTGTACCTGAGGATAAGATTTACACTAGGGCGCGTTTAGAAAAATAAAGGCAACCACGGCCCCACCTCATATCAAATGAACATCAGTGCAGCTTTAGTACTTTGGTAGGGAGCTTTGGCTGCTAAATCACTATCTGCAAAGAGGGGTGTAGAGACAGGGCTAAGAGGAAACTCCAAAAAGGATTAAGACAGCCAACACGGTCAAAATGTTTTTAATTTTCTCTAGTAAGCCTAATAGTAAACCCTTGATAACTCACTGTCATTTTAAGCCCTTCCTTTTAGGTAACCCTTTCACCAGAAGACCACAAACTTTTTTTACAAGGAGGGTGCTGGGTTTGTTTCAGTTCTTTCTGTTCTCTACCTGCCATTCTAGTACATCTGAAAAGGGGCAGCGAGGAGGAACCGGGACGCGAGCATGTTTTCCCATCCTGGCTAGTCAGGCCCTGAATCATCCCAAGTTGATTGCGCTTTCCCCCTCAGCCAGCAGAATTCGAGACTTTCCCTCGAAGAATTTGTCTTGTACTTAAAAGGAAGAGTGGTGGGAGAAGGGAGAGGCGGAGAAGACGAGCGGGGTGAAGGGCGCGGAGGGCCGTTCCCGCCCCAGTCGGAGGCGCCGAAAGGCCGGACGCCGCAAGGCTGCGAGCCCAGGAATGTGCCATCTGAGCAGCGGGCTGGCCCCGGCGCCGCACACCTGAGCGCCGGGGGCGGGGCGGCGACGGGCAAGACCACCCCCCTCCCCGACCTAGCGCCGCGCCCCTCCGCGCCGTCTCGGCCCTTTCCGCCCGCGCTTCGGCGTCGCTCGTCTCCCCTCCCGCCCCTCGCTGCCTCTCTCCCAGCTAGCCGGGTAGAGCCGGGACCTCCGGGCGGCGAGTTGGCTGCAGTTCACTAAGCGCGGCCGGTTCGGCTCACCTGGGCGCCCGGTTCCAGCCCCTCTCTGCGTCCCTCAAACTTTTCCCAGGTAAGGGGTTGCCACACGCGCACCGGTCCCTTTCCGACTCGGCTGGACAGCTGTAGGCTGCGCGTCGCCCTTCCTCTGCGAGCCGTTCCCAAGAAATGGGAGTGTCGGCGGCGGAGACCCCGGACTGGCAATGTCCGGAGCGATGGGCTGGAGATGGGGCGGCCCAACAGGTGGCGGGGTCTGGCCCTGGTCCCCAGACAGCCGCAGGCGTGGACCCCGGTGCGGACGGGGCGGGGGTCGGGGGTGGGGGCAGTCTCTTTCTCCTCCCCTCGAGGGCTGGCTAGCGTCCGGGCCCGCCGTGTAGGTTCGTCGGCGAAACTTTGCAGGTCGGGAACTTGCCGGCGCGGAAGAGTGGGCTTACTTTGGATCGGGGGACTCCGAGGGGCGCATCCGCGGGGCAGTCCCTAGGGCCGCGTGAGGACCTTACGCTTCCCTTCCCCGCCCCCTTTTGTGTTTCCATTCAGACTGCGAGCGGCTTGGGGAGCCGCGGCTGCTCCTCGCCTCGGGGTCGTTCGCTCCTGTCCTCGGGGCCGCAAGAAGAAAGAGGCGGCGGCGGCCGGAGCCACGGTGGGCGGCCTGAGGTGTGAGCCCGGCCGGCCCCGCTGGGAATATGGCGACCGGTGGCTACCGAACCAGCGGCAGCAGCGGCGGCGGCGGCGGCGGCAGCACCACAGACTTCCTGGAGGAGTGGAAGGCTAAGCGCGAGAAGCTGCGCGCCAAGCAGAACCCCCCGGGCCCGGCCGCCCCGGGCGTGGGCAGTTGCGAAGCCGCCGGAAAGCCCCCACCCGGGTCTCTGGGCACTGCGGGGACTGCCGCGGCCAACGAGCTCAACAACAATCTCCCAGGCGGCGCGGCCGCACCTGCCACCCCCGGGGGCGTGAACTACGCGGTGGCCCCCGCGGCGCTGGCCCGGGCGGCCCCAGGCCCGCGGCGGCCAGAAGACGAGACCCCCTCTGGCGCCGCCTCCACTTCCTCGGGGGCACAGCCGGCCCGGGGCAACGACGAGGAGCGGGACGGCGCCCTGGAGAAGGGCAAGAGCTCGGGCCCCAGTGCCAGGAAAGGCAAGGGGCAGATCGAGAAGAGGAAGCTGCGGGAGAAGCGGCGCTCCACCGGTGTGGTCAACATCCCGGCGGCAGAGGTGAGCCGGGCGGGGGCTGCGGCCTCACCTGGGGGTGGGGTGGGGGCTGCTGCCTCCCTGTGTTTCCTTCTGGGAGCTCTCGGGTCTCCCGGGCCCAGAGTTTTCCCTCTGTAGCTCGTACCACTTAACCTTTAAGGCAGGCAGAGAGGGTGATGGAGTTTTACTCTGAACAAATGCTTCTTGGGACGTTCGCCAAACCCAACGCAGAACACGTGCTTTTCAGGCTTCCTGGCTAAGGTCTCAGACCCAGGATGCGTTTTTACCGTGGTGGAAAGACAAGTCCTGGCTCCAGAACTTGCTCACTCAGACTTTTTTTTTTTTAATGCTTGATAAGTTAGAAAAACTGATTAGTGGTCACGACGACGTACTCTAGTTTCCCACGTGTCTGTCTCAAGTTATCAGACTGTGTATCTCTTCTCTCTTAACAGTGTTTAATAGCACCGGTAAAGGAAACGTGGCCTTAGCACTATCTGAGGCAGCTTTATTTTTTAATGAACCCAAGATGAGTATATCCAAATAAATAGATGCCCTATTTTATGTATTAAGCCAGCCTTTGTAAATAACGCTTCCTCTCTCTCTCTCTCTCTTTCTCTCTCTCGGTATTTAGGACAGTAGGAACACTGTAGGAACTCACAGTTTTTGCTGAGATGATCTCTCCTTGTATTTAAGTATGTATTCTAGAAAACGTTTGTGGTAGGGGTGGGTTTTTCTTTGTTTGTTTTTGAGCACTCTCAAAACAATTCTGCAGGCAATAGCATCTTCCTATTACAGTGACTGGTGCAACATTTTTACCTAGTTTATAGCTGCAGCACTTTACCCGCAACGAAACAATACTAAACAAGTTTTGGTTTCATTAATAGTAGCTCACCGGTTTTGGGAAGGGATTCAACAACCTTGTTTCATCAAAAGGAGTAGTTCCATCTTATTCTCATTGGCTCATTGTTTTACTACCTTTCCTTTTTTTTACTTCTGGTCCTCAATTGATTCAATGTTGACACCAAGAAAATAATAAGAATTTACTAACTTTAATTGTGGTTCAAGTAAAAGCATTGGCAGACATACCCAGATTTTTAAGTCTTAATACAATTTCTGTACCTGGAAAAATCAGTTTTTCTTTGAAGAACATATTTTTTGAGTGTTTGAGAGAGATTTTTATCAGCCAGCAAAACTGTCCGCTGTGGTTTTGCTACTTGCACAAAAGATCTGTTATTCATTAAATTGCTTTAGAAGGAATTCATAAGAGTGGTAATCAAATTTCTAAGGTTATTTTTGTTTGTTTAGTTAAAAATATGAAGATTAAGGGGAAACCGAAGACAAGGCTTTGGAAAAACTACATTCCTCAACTTTATTTTTAAAAGTAGCTGAGGGTCCAAATAAAGGAATTTGTCATTTTCAATCTTTTGCTCATTATTCATCTGACAGGAGTCTTATTTTGGGAAATATATTGGCAGATGTTAAACTTCAGTATTTGTCTATTCGTGCTATCATTGTTATTTCTCAAATACCTTTTTGTTTCTGTTTTTTGACAAGGGGAATGTTTACTGGGGGAAATAAGTATGGTGTATTTTGTGAGATGCTAAGAAACATCCTTTGTTAATGCTCCTGCTTTGGGTAAGAAACATGGTGCTGAGAATGTAGATGACTCCCCACTACAATTGAGTCTAATACTCTGGAATGTTTTTCATTTGGGTGTTGGCAACTCCTAAATTTAATCTTCCTTAAAAACAAACAACCCAGGTTACCATTTTTTTGTCTGTGGAATTTGAACCTTTTTTATTGAATAGGGAATTGAGGACTGCTTGCTTTTTGTGGTTACTATGGCTCTGTTTCATGCTGTAGGACCCAACAAAACATGGTAATGTTTTACCCTAGTATCCAATTAGCAGGCATGCTTTTTGAGTGCTTCCTCCCCATATTTTCAGTTTTTTTTAAAAAAATGCCTTGTCAGATTATTTTAGTGGTAAAATAGATGATTCAGGATTTTGAAAGTGAACCTTTTGCCATATATATGTATTTTTTTTTTTAAATTGTGTGCCATTCATTTCTATTAGTAGTTTCAACATTCACAAGGCCTCTTGCTGTGGAGCTTCTTGTGTAATACAAGTAGCACTCTTGTTTTATAAAGTCATATAATATTTACAAAATTTTGAGGTATGAAAATACTATAAAAGCAGAAAACTACCAATCTGTCAATTTTCAAAAGTAGGCTTGTATTATATGTAATGTTGAGTAAGACTTATTTTCCAGACCCTATTCCCAACCAAGTTTATAGTAGATTAGCATATAAATTGTATGCAAAAAGCTTATTTTAGTGGTTAATAAACAGTAAATTCCTTCTAAAAGTATTTATTAAATGTGTGTGGCACATTCATTGTGACTTTAACTTACTTTACTAATTACTATTATGAAATTATTACAAAGGTACCTGACAACAGCTAAAGATACCAGAAGCAACTAGAAGGTAATTTTAGGAAGGACTCAGGTCAAAAATTGGCGCATGAGAAAGTGGCGGATGAGGGTAAAATACTGGGTGGATACTGCATGTGATGACTATAATAAAAAATGCAAATATACAAATGCTTATTAGTAAGATAAACTTAAGTTCTCATTTCCAAAGTTAGACATTTTTTAAAGCTTTTTTCTAAATTTTTAGTTTTTTGAGGCAATAACCTAAAGTTGATATTGGATATGACATAATTCCTGCCAATAATTATTATATGTTTATTAAATCAGTCATATTTACTCCATGTTTGTGTTCAAGGTGCTATTGTAAGCAGTGTGGAGAAAACGAAGAATAATGAGCAAGAGTGTCATCTAGGAAGAAGGCTAAAGTTAACAGTCTAAAAGCCATCTTAATAGCTTATAAGTAATTGTTTATTAGAAATAATTGTGTTTAAAGGGAAAAGATGATTTAGGGAGGCTACTGAAGATGAGTGTCTGAAGCTCAGGCTGATGTTTCTATACCTATGTATACACACATAACTGTCCTAATGTAGTATTTTAAATGTCACAGGTCAGTGATTCTTAACTGTTGCTGCATGTTAATATCATGTGAGGATCTTAAAAAAATACTCCCCTCTTCCTTCCTGACCCCCTATCATTTAGTGGGTCTGGGATGGCTCCCAGGCAATAGTAGTTTGAGGAGCTCACCATGTGATTCTAATGTGAGTCAGGGTTAAGAACTATTGGGCTGCAGTCTGGGGTACAGAAATGAATGAATAGGACACAGGCAGGCCTTGCCCACAGGGGGCTCTCAAGTACTATAGGCAGTTATGGTAAGTAGAGTGTAAAGTCCAGCCTATTTTCTGAGCAGGGTACCTAACACAAGGAGGAGGGTGATAGTTGAGGTGGGCTTCCTAGGTAGTTTCATAACCCAGTTTTTAGAGTGCTTGTAAAGTTACTGCCTCGAGTAGATTTGCATGAATGGGTTAGCAGAGATGGTTACCGTAGAAAATAAAGTCAATAGGTCGAACTTAAGTGACACCGAGGTTTTGATTTAACTAGAAAAGTTAACATTGAAACTCATTGATTTCATAGTGGTTGACTAAAGTATTTTATGTGTTGTCTTAATGAATGTTCACAATAATCCCATGTGGTAGTTACATTTACTCTTTTTATCCCCATTTCCAGAGGAGAAAATGGAGGCCTAGAGAATTTAAAATGACTCAAGATCACATGGAAAGTGAATAGGGATAGAGCAGTGTTTGTGTATGTGTGTGTCTAGGGAATGGGGAGTTTTAAAGAATTAACCTACTTTATATTATTTAGCTTATTTTCCTAGACTTTTTAATAACTTTTTAAAAGAGGTTATGTTAAATAATTTAAACATCTAAATGGGGAAAGCAGTGCAAGTAAGGAATCAGATTAGAACTTTGGGTCAAATTTGTAGGCTCAGTAATTGCCTCTGACTCTCTGATACACAGTTTGCTTGGCAAAATTTTGAATACCAGGCTATCAGCAAAAATATAAACCTATTTTTTGGCTAGCAGTCAGAAAATGTGGCTCTTTGATTTGTACTTAAGTAATGTGTTGCTTTTCTGTCAAGGTGGAGTTTTTAATTTATTTTTAAATTCTCTGCCAGAGATGAATTTTGTTGAATTTAGAGAAAGAGAGAGAGAGAAAACATCGATTGGTTGCTTCTTGCATGCATCCTGACCAGGAATTGAACCCTAGCGACTGTTCAGTTCACAGGATGACCCCCAAGCCACACAGGCCAGGGCTGTCAAGGTGGAGTTTTCACTGACTCCATAGTTTGAAGGAGCATTTGATACATAGAAAGCATTTTTAGGTGAACAAACTGTCATAGTTATTCAGCATATTTGCTGAGCGTTTTATAGGACAAGTTCTACTTAGTAAACCTTATAAAGCTAGGTAGATTAAGAAATGCCTTTTTGTATGCCTATTATATTATAGATTGTCTACTTTTCTATGTGATGAGTCAGAGGAGGGACTAATAAGTGACTCAGAGTTGGAAAAATTGGACTTGTGAATAGAATAGATAAACACTGAGGCTGCTTAATAAGATATTAAGCTATACTTTCCTGAATGTTTGAGTTCATTGATGAAGTAAATTGAATTTTTAATATTATCGTGATTTGTAATGAGTTGTCTAAGGTGAGGTGCTTTTTTCCATAAAAATAGTAATTATGTAATTAAAGTATATGACATTTATGGTGTGCTTATTAAGTGTTAGGCACTGTTCTAAGCACTTTACATACATTGGTGCAACACCCCTGTGGGGAAAATGGGGCAGAGAGGGTTAGTTGACTTGACTGAGGTCATCATGTAATGTGGTAAGAAGCGGAGAAGAGATAATGTGCTTTCAGAGCCTGGATCTTAATAACCGTTTATTATATATTAGTGTATTATATATACTGTATACCCAATTTAAGTAAGACAAAGACTATTTAAGTAAAATGAAAGATACTAATATATTGTTACAGAATTTGAAAATAGCCCTGTTATAAAAGGCAGATGAAGTGAGATATATTGGAAATATT